CCCCCCCCCCCCCCCCCCCGCCGCTGCCGCCCTCCCCAAGACTTTCGCTCATTCATTTCCTGCCTTCTACAGCTCTTCATTATTAACCCTGATTGGACATAAAGACAATATGTGAGGAGTCATGCCGCCACGCAGATGAGTACTCTTTCTGTAAATGACCAGCAGTGGGCTGGTAAAAAGCACCCAGCGCCGGGGCAAACGGAGGACAGTAGGACGACTAAAAGCACTTTAATGACATGGCCGGACTCGTGTTTCCTAATGATGCAGGCGAGATTAATTATGCTCCGCGTATGGGTCATAATTATACGAGCACTGATCCCTTTCCACCGGCTATGCTTGGCCACTCTCCGCCTATGCCTTGAGTTTCAGATGATCCATCAACACGTTCCCATATTCCTTTCGTTTATTTTTAAATATATATGGCAACATGTTTGTTACTTTATGCCTCACATTAGAAAACAATGGAGTATTAGATGCTGCAGAGTGACTGCATTCCGTTGATTAGTTTTTAAAATGAATTATGCAGGCCTTTTGCTAAACAAAAACAAATACACTATTAAATTATTTGTTACATTACAATAAACTACATCAATAACATTTATTTGAAGGTTTCCAGAACCTCTGTGCTTTATAATGAAATTGCCAATAGACTAGGCCTTATTTAGAATACTTCAAATATTTTTTTAGAGTTTTAGTTCTTTTATGGCATTAAAATATAGAAAAAAATATCATACACAGACAGATTTATAACATACTCACATTCTACTGTAAGAAAATGTGGTTTTGTGACTTCAATGACTTCTACCAGCAGGTCAGAGTTAATCTGAATATAATATAGATTAAAGTTTAATTTTACACAAAAACATGACCAAATGACAATTGAAATAATCTGGTGTGTGATGGCTTAAACAGAAGTAGAATGGCACAAATTAAAAATGGATGGGTTTGAAATGTTCAGGATTGGTGAACTGGACCAGGACCAACAGAGACTTTTAATTTGAGTTTGGGGATTGATCCATATTGATAAATTTCATCAATGGTCCTGTAAAAATGACAAACATCCCACTAAATATGGTTCCATATTATTGAGGTTTTGTAGACCTCAGCTTGCAGTAAATCTGAGGACACTAAAATAATCTGAGTTGTTCAATAGGAACTGAAGAGTTTATTCCAGTCTCAAATATCTACAGAAACTTATTCTTCTGTTTAGTAAAAGCCATATGGATGTTGGCATATAAAGGTCATTACTTATATAAACATATTTTGTTTGATTTGCCTGAACATAATATGTTAATGTCAAAATCAATCTTACTGGGCTGTTATTTTCTTTTTTACCAAAGCTATAGATTGGGATCAATGTAAAGTTGATGTCAATTACTAATAAAAAATGTATCTCAAATTGGTTGAACCCATCTAAATAATGAATGAAAAAAAGTACTAGCATGGCAGCAATCAAACCCTTCTTATAAGCTTTTTTTTTTAAAGTTCTCACTAGTAATTTTGTAATTTTTCTTTGGTGATGCACTCCAAGTGTTTCAGGTTGGAAGACCACCTTGCCATCACCCTAATCTTCAGCAACCTCCACAGATTCCCTATCAGATTCAAGTCAAGATGTTCTCTCGCGTGTAAAAATCTCACATTTTAACATGTTAAAATGTGAGATTTTGCTTTTTCTTCATATCTATGCAAATGTTATGTTGTTTACTGCAGATAAAATTGAGCAAAGTCTTGTCAGGTGTGATTTAGCACTGAACAAATGTTCATACGACAGAAGACTGACATCCAGACTTGCACATTGACCCGTAAGGCGGGATAGAGGAACAGCAGGCAATTTACTTTGTGGTAAGTAGAGGCAGTGGTTGATTTAATAAATCTCTATGAAATGCCCCCCCCCCCCATCTTAACATCTTATGTGCGGCAAAGGTGTTGCCGTGTCTTATCTGCGAGTTGAGGAAGAGAACGTCGGGGCTACTGGGATGTCTTAATTCCTTGACATAAATATACACACAGATTAATGAAGCCTTGGGAGATTGTGAAGAAGGGGGAAAGATTGCTTATCGATCCATATCAAAATTTTCATGCTAATCCCTAGCAGGAGACGGAGTGTCTGGTATCAGAGTTAATAATCTGATTTCTAGGCTGTCCGGGACAATTCCGAGCAGCGTGAGGGCCTAATCACAGAGCCGACTTCCCATCTAAGAGCAGCTGCTGTGGTCCAACAGCACGTCACCCCCCCTCCATCACCTACCTTCCCCACCTTGAAGCCTCCGGCCCCCTCTAATGACTCGGACAGTGATGGAGCATATGATGGAAGCATCTTGACAAATTAATTTTTGTACATTTCAGAGGAGATTTGGGGAACACGGATCTGCTGGTGTTAGCCTGGCAGACCTGCGCCGACCTTTGAATGTTGGTCTGCTCACGGGTTGTGAAATGGGACAGCTTCCTCGCCGTCAGCTGTTTGAGAAACATTTTTTAACCAGATGAAAATGTATTTAAAATGTTTCAGAACCCCCCCCCCCAAAAAAAAAAAAAAAAAAAAACACATCACAAGAAAATATGTGAAGGACCTAGAAGAATTAAATGCAATACAAGGTTGTATTCTTTTACACTGTTCTTTTGCTTTCCCTCTAGGTGTTCTTTGACTTTGTGTGCTGCAGCTGTTGACAAATCAGGGTCTTAAAGTTATATAGTTGTCTAAGAGCAGCTTGGCAATAACACATCTTAAGTAGCTGAATGTGGGCAGAGATTTTCATCAAATCTGGAAGTGCATTATATTAACCCACGCTGTCAACACGAACCCAAATTACAGCTAATGATAGTCTAAAATTATTTCTTGTAACAAAGCATGTCTATAACGTATTAGCTGCCCAGAGAATGTTATTTTCCGCTCCTATAGTTGTCCCCTGGCGGAAAAAAAAAAAAAAAAGAATCACAGTATCAGAAGACAGCATGGGGCACCCCTAGGAGTGGCAGCTGATGTGTCTCAGTTAGGCTAATATCCTCATCTCCCATTTTTCTCTATTAAATCTTAATCACAGACTTGTCGAGTGTCACTTGACATTTGCATTTTGCCAGGCAAAGCCGCGATGCGCACAGCTCCCAGAGGTTGGACGACTCCCTTCCACGGACTGCTTTGTTCAGTCGTTGCCTCTCATCTCCAGCAGGGTCGTAGTCACAGATGAGGCCATGATGAGATTCGGTTTGTATCTCTGTGGTCTAACTAAGGGTTGTTTCCTACAGGAGAAAATAGCTCGAACAACACAACACAACCAACAGCAAAAAGGTTGAGAACAAACTGCTGCAAAGCATCATATTTTAGGCTTATAACCAAATATAATCTGAGATTTGAATAAAAAGACTCATTTTTATGTAAGCATGTTTCCTTAAATGACTGAGTAAAGCAAAAGAAAAAGGCAGAAATAAATGACAAGGATCTGTTAAAAGAAGCAGTCGACACTGATTTAACTTCTCTCAATAATCAATCTCCTCTTCTTGATGTTTACAAAAAAGAGTCGATAAGTGAAGAAGAAGGTTTGTGATTAGCTTTGATTTCTACTTCCAGTCCAAATCAGCCATTATTGCCTCTGTCCCTGTCTCTCCCTCTTCCCCAATATGACATTGATGCTGGGAGGCTTCACAGAAGCTGTCCTCGCAAAGGATCCATCGACTTACTTTTCTGAGAAGGACTGTAACATAAATGTAACCTTTCAGCACGGCAAAGTCTCATTAGCGCATCTGTGTTGGAGTGCAATGAAAGTCCGCAAGATCAACAGAAATTATGCTAAATATCGTGCACAGGTGTTTGGTTGCTATGGGTAAAGTTCTAAGCTGCTGCTGAAAATTAGTTTTGGAAAAAGCTTTCTGTTGTGTGTTAACCTGTGAGGGTCGTTTCACTAGTATTCTGACTCATTAAAATGAGTTTAGTTTGTAATAAAAGGTGATCTGGAAACGTTTAAGCCAACCTATAATGGAAGCAGTCCTGAAGTGAGAACATTTAGTACAGCTAAACTTGTTAACAGATGCCTAGCTTAGATTAGCTTAGCATTGTTTTAGCTCGGCCCGGTAAGCAGGCTAAGACAAAAACAAAACAAAACCTGAACATTTGCCTTTCCGTTTGGGTTAAGCCTCCTCAGTTTAATATTTAAAATGACAAAAGTCATATTTTGAAGTCTTTTAGCATAAATAGAACTGATTAAATTTGGCCAACATGCTGACAAAACCCAGACTGGGCCTGCCAGACAGGAAAGTATGATTCATCACTCAACACGTCTCCACCGCTTCACATCGCTGCATCCACTTTGTGTTACACATGCTGACTGTAGGCCTGGTTGTAGCTGCTCAACCAGTAAAATATATTCCATAAGACACTTTTTCCAAACTTCTTCATCTGAATGGAACATGAGGTTTGGAGGTGTGTAGCTGTGGACTTTGCCAACATATGGACTATTCGTGTTACATCTTGTTCTGTAATTTTACAGGGTCTACCACTTCTTCCCCAGAGTTGCTGTGGTCTTCAATCTCTTCCACTTTGTTGTAGCACCATTAACAGTTGATTGTGGAAATTTCACGTCTTGACTTACTGCACAGGTGGGGATCCTATTACGGTGGAATGCCCTGATTCAAACCATTCTTTCATCAATGCTTGAAGCGGTCTGCGTGCCGAGGAGCTGGATTCTGCTCACCTCTGGATATGAAAGTAGAGGGAACACATCCATTCAAGGATTCGGAAAGTCGAATGAACACATTGGACAATATAATATGACAAACAATTCATCAGGTTGTTTTTAACTTAAATATTGCTTTTGATCAATTTTTATGGATTTAATTGAAGAGTCTGTAATTAATCGTAATTAACATTTTCACTGAATTAGTAACATTTTCAATTAAAAAGCCTTTTTGCTACTAGGTTATGTTATTGAATAGACATGAACTCAACAAGGATATTACTTTTAATCTTTTTTTTTTTAGGTTATTCAACCATCAGATCTGTGCACAGTGTTGTACCCATTCAAGGGTTTCAAGAATCCCTGATCATTCATGTAACTTTTTGAAAAGATAATTCTTTAGTGCTGTGGATGCTAACGTTCGCGTTGGGAGAAGTGTGGGCTTGCTGCAACATGCTTAGCATTGAGATGCTATTTTAGGTTTAACTAGCTTTGATGATAGGCTAGCTACTTTTAACACGACTTGAACACAAAAATAGTCTCTCCCACCATCCCAGCAGAGTTTATTTATTTATTTTTATTTTTTATTTTTTTTCTGAAGCAAAGATTAACCTCCAGTGGGTCAAGAGAAGCATCCTTGTCTTGCATTGCTGTTTGCGAATGCTAATTGTGTGTCAGATTTATGGATGTACTTTAAACACAATCCAAAGCTTCCAGCTGGGGACTTCTTTTAAATTTGTAATAGAAAAAAGAAACTGCAATTAATTGCTTTAAAATCTATTGAATCAAATTAAATTTAGTCAAAACATATGCCTTCCATATTAAATATCCGTCTGCTTTTCTTTTTGTTTTGTTTTTTTAAAGCAGCTTGGGGACGCTCCCCCCACCCCAGACATTCCTTCATAAGCATGTGTCTGAATGATATCTACATGAACGTGTGAGCTTCTGGGCCCGCCTGTGAATAGGCTCAAGTAGAGCCTCCCAGGGAAAAGCTCTAATTTGACAGTAATGTTGCCAGTAAACAAACAAAACCCAGTCTCGCTTATAACCTGTATCTTTTCTGGAGACATAATGATGTGTTAGCGCAGCCCGGTTTTTCCATTGTGCTTTGGCCTTGTCATGGTGGCTCAGGGGAAGACTTATCCATATGAAAGGCTTAAAGCAGCCTGTTCAGATCTGCCAGGATTAGGCCCAGGCTAATACACTGGGTCAACAGCATGGTTGTCCTAATGAGACAGGTGTACAGTACTTATGGCTGTCTCTCCACATATCAGCGGGGGAGGAGGAGGGGTCTCGCACAAAAGCTGATATCATCCCTGCCGGCTTACCCTGACTCGTATGATATCCCCAGTTGTAAATATAGTTTCTATATCAGGCTTAATGCAGACATACAGCAGGCTCATGGCTGAGCTTAGCTGCACAAGAAGCTGAAAGATTGAGAAAAAAAATGGATTTAAAAGGTTCTTATCTTTGATTCTCTCTTTCTAAACCAAAAGTAAACAAGAGTCATTATAGCTGCAGGTACAATTAGATCCTCCTGGATGGAATTTGCAGCTTTGTGAGGCTTTTCTAATAATTCATATACAATTCCCATAAAGCTTAAATCTAGTAAAAAATAAATAAATAAATAATTTATTTACTTTAATTATTCTCTTCATCAAACAATGATAAAAAAATATTTTTTTATATTTTAATACTTTTTTTTCTTTCTTTACATGGGAACATTTTTTAATAGACAAAATAATCTAAAAGTGGCTAAAAGGATCTGAATAATCTGTAAGCAGAGTGAGAACCCTCCCCCACTTCTCAGCCAATGACTCCTGGAGATGGGAACCAACTTCACTTGGATGAATGGATGTGAGAATACTATGGATCCATTAAATGATGGCAACATAAACTTCGAAGCTATTGCCAAACCTTTGTCTACATATCAGAACATCATCTTACTCTATCTAACTCCAACTCGTAGTTTTTGGACTAATCAAATCTGAACTGTTTGGTTATTCACCGAACAGGAATTATTTGAAACAATGTTTAGGATTTATGCAGTCTCTATAATATCTGTCAAAATACAAAAAGGGAGCATATTAAATGTTTTTTTATTATTATTTTATTTATTTTAATTTTTTTTAACATTTGGACCGCCTTAAAAATAGAGCAGGCCAAAAACCAGAAATGGACTAGTCAATCCTGGACTGACTCATTCTACAGATGTCACTTTTAAACCGTTTGTGATTTGTGAAACCTTTGCTTTATTTGTGAATAAAAGTTAGTTCTCTCCCTACTACAGTATCTTTATACATTTTAATCCTTTCTATTTACTCTCACTTGCTGCTGTGACACATTGTCCCCGCTATTGGACAATAAAGGATATTTCTTACCCGATTCATCAGAATACCTCCCTAGATTCAATAAAGGACTGTGAAAACAGTTTCTTTTTTGCTACAGATCTTATGCACAAGTCATGAATCAGTCAGCTCTCCTTCTATCCCTCCGCCCCCCTGTAAAACTCCCCCCCCCCCCCCCCGTTTATAGTGCAAACATTTGTGAATTCCTATTTTCCTTTAATAAAGTATACTTCTGTCCTGCAGATGTATGCTTGGATGGGATGTCATACTCTGTCTTTGTTGAGGCTGGTGCCCCGCTGATGTTCCTAGGCAGCGAGAAAATTGCCTTATTGAAACACGTTGCTTGGAGTGACTATAATGCCGCGCTGAGGGCCGGCATTATGCACATGACATATCTTGCGACCTTGCGGTGGGAAAAACCATGAATATAAAGTAATCAGCAAAGGCACCGACATGTTTCTGTAACGTGATAGCTTTGCTTTTTTTTACACCTTTGTCAAATATGATGATTTCATGACTCCAGACAAAGCATTGGGGGCCCAAAAGTGATTCCCCTTTTTTTTTTTTTTTTTTTTTTTCTTTTTGCATCATTGCGAGGGTTTCTCTTACTCCATTGCTTGGGTGCAAACACACTAATAATGGGTGGCTAATTTTATATTTTTTTTAAATATTTTCTAATTGAGAAATTAAATATTTTATTTATTCCCTGCAAACTTGCACAACAAAAGTCTGATCTTGCGCACAAGGCCTGGAAGTAATGTCACTAAGCTGCAGTCAGTGCAAGCAGTTTGAGTTTAATGGGCCAGGCTATATGTGTGCGAGTGTGTGTGTGTGCGAGTGTGTGTGTGTGTGCTTTTTTTCTCCCCTTTTATTGTGTGTGTGATTTCTGGGGAGCTGTGTAAACAGAAAATGCTAAGCTACCCCAAGAGTGCACTTTCTCGGGGAAGTTAAGAGCCGGGTACACATGTTTATTTCAATTTCAAACAAAATGCAAATGCCATTAAACAAATGGGGCTGAGGCAAATTGGCTGGGAATTTAATATTCAGCGAGTCTATGATATAGGACATCTTGTTACGAGACGGCGGACTGAAGTCTCAGCCGCGTCTTTCATCCGGCAGGCTCTCTTGAGGATATTTGTAATTAGCATCATTTGCCTAATACTTCAGGTTAATTAGAATATTTAATTGAATAGCTCTAATCTTCTGAGATGACTATATTATAATCAAATTAGCACCACCACTAGGCTGGCTATTGAACATGGCAGACTGCCTGGCTCCTGGTCTCTTATCTGCTCCATCTCCATAGAGCATTCTCACATACTTAATGGTCCATTTGAACTATGCTATCAACATTTGATTATTCCTGAACAACAAAGGCAGCCGCACAACCACTGGGCATAAAAAAAAAAGAAGAAGAAGAAGAAGAAGAGATGATAAAGAAAAAGCACTATGGCTCCCATATGGCAGGTTTGGGGAAAGAGCGCTCGCTCTGTGTGAAGCAAGCCGAGCCAGGCAGCGAGGCCATCAGGGAAAGGGGATGCAACCCAACTTATACCTCCCTCCATCCACCCCTCATCTAACCGAGACGAGCATTTGCCAAGATAAGCAGATGAGAGGTGGGGGGGACATATGCTCGAGAGTCTCCAGAAGAACCATCGAGAGGGTTTTAGCGGTCGAACCAGACGGAACGCGGGCCGGCAACCTCATGTGTTCATACAGTAATTACTCATCTCTACCTTTGCTGCGTTGGATGTACTGCAAAAGAGAAAAATTAAACAGTGCATCAATTACTTTATATTATATCCTAGTATTATTTATCCACGCTCTTTCCCTACAAGACTGTTTTCTTTTTTCTTTCTTTTTATATTGATTAATGCGCGTGAACTTGATTACATTGAAAATCAATCATCTCGGATTTATTGGAGTCGAAAAGTGCCTCGCTCGTACAATACGCATAATCGGCCTCGCTAAGCGAAAAACAAACTAATGAAAAGCTAAATATTACAGTGCGTTCAATTGCACCAAACAGATGGCAGCTAAATTAAAAGAAATTACATATACATTATCTCTGCTTTATGGCTGCACTCTAATTGAGGCGATTATAACTCCTACCTTTCCAGTCTATAATGAAGTGAATTAATTCATTCAGACTGGAACGTGTTACAATCGCACTCACCAGTATTTGTGTTTAGCGTCTCAAGTGATAATTTTTGACAGTGCCATATGTTTCCCGGGCAATATTTCTTCTCGGTTGGGTTTTATTAGATAATTTTATTTGTCCCCGTGCCGATTCCTTTATACATCCGCAAATGAACCCTTGTTGCAAATAGGTAGCCATATGCCGCGAGGACGCAGAGTAAAGGCGAAACGAATATTCCTTAGGCTTTCCGTTAATTTGTTTTCCTGGCCTCGTGTTTTTTTTTTTTTTTTTCTTCTTCTTCGCTGTATTGCTGCTTATTGGGCGCCGTGGCTGTATTAAATTGATAATGAATTAAATGTATCATCACTCCAACTCTTATTTCAGTGTGGAGGCGGTGAGCGTTTGCCAGTAGGAAGAATGAAAACATAATTGTGTCCTCAGTCTTCTCAATTTCACACGTTGCTGGAAATGACAAAAGGAACATGGGAGATAATCGCGGGACTCTTTATACACGTAAGCGACAATAAAGCTGGAAATCATTGCTTTTGCAGTCATTCTTAATCACATTCGCATTATCTCTTAGTGTATTTACAACCTTTTTTTTTCCTGTCCTACAGTGAGATTTTAACTTTATATACCATAACTAAAGCTGCAGTGTCAGTGTTTCTTTTCTTGACACCTATGCTTATGCATCTGAATCAAATTTTACGTGGGTACAAGTGTGGGGGGGGTGGAAGGAGAAACTTTTAGC